ATGCTTTTAAAATAGTTTTTGTGATTTAAAAAATAAAATATTAAATTTAATCAATTTATATTATATTATGAACCAAATAAAAAGATAAATACATTTAAAAATTTTCAAATTACATAGTATCCAATACAATAAATATTTATTGAATTATATATCTAAACAATATACTTAAAAATATTCAAACATTGAATGAATACTTTTATCAAAAAAATTCCGTTGATGAAATATTTTTCACTAAACTACCGCAACTCCAAACGGATCTTTAGTCATTTCTACCCTTTGTATTCATGATTTGTCCGACAAAATGTAGGATTCTAGACAAACTAAGATATACCAATGAGTTTGAACATGTCACATTCCTGAAGCAAACTTGTGCAACTCATCTTGTGATAAATTATAACTCGATCTAAAATGTCATGAATTGCTGAGTGTGTTCCTGTCCCAAATTTCAAAATTTTGACCAGATCATGACCGGCAACCTACCCAAGCAATTGAAAGTTTGAGTCCATGTTCCTTCCAAGAACTGGACTCAAGGAAACTTTCACCCACTCAACCATTTCTACCTTTGCTATTTAGATTTGGCCAATAAAGTTAAAATTTAAAATCTGTGGTTCAAGACAAGTCGATATTTACGAGTGTATTTGAAATTTCACATCCGTGATTCAAATTTGTATAAATTAGCAAACTTTTTTCTTTTCTAATCCCTTAAATTGTTAAGAGGAGCTCAATGATGACAGCCCGGGTGAGAATTTTAAGTCCCTCTTCGGTGCTAGGTTGGAGGGTTCTAGTCCCTCACCGACATATTGGGCCCTCCACTTCTCAAGGGCGGGTTAACCATTACCGTTTACATACCAAGAGGTAAAAGAGAATAAAGCACACCAAGTCTGGAGAAGGGATGGATTGAATGGTTCGATGGAAAACAATATAAATGAAAGATGTTGGGTTCGAATCTTTCCACTTACATATAATAAAAAAGAAAAACCAACAAGTGCTAGTTAGGGGTTTGAGGCCATATTGTTGATTTGTAGCACAAAACTATTTTGGCCAAAAACCGGTCAAAATCGGTTAAACCAGTGATCTGAATTAATTGGTTGACTTGATTTTCAAACTTTTTTTTGTTTTTTCCAAACATAATTTGAGTTACCTAAATTGTAAAATTTTCATTAATTAATAGAAATAAAATAACCTACATAATGTAATCACCAAAATCACTCGCTTCTTTAAATGATTTCTAAATCAAGAAGATTTCACCCTTATCATCTTATCAAATAAGTATCAATGATTCCAACTTACATTAATTTGTTTTAATTTAATTTTTCAAATAGGTTTGGAGAATAGACATATTTTTACCCATGAATTTAGATTTTTATATATAATTTCTAGGTGTATATTTGATTGCAAGTCTAATATTTTTGGAATAATTTGTTTGGTTGGCGATATAACCAATAACTTAATTTCAATATTTCTGAAATTTATAAAAATATAAAATAATTATGACATCACGTTAATGTCAATGAATTTTTAAAACGGTCCAGCCGATCCGACTAGTTATTCTCTAATCCAATAAATTAACTGAATCGTTGTTCGATCCGAGTTTAACAACATTAGTTTGAGGGGGTACGTGTCTCACATTTCATGTGATCCGCACGTGTCTTCTTTTCATAGTCGCAAATCTTACATATATAAAGCACGAATAGCTTGTGAACAGTGCCTGAAGGACCGGTTATGCCGTGATTTGTGTGAGCTTGAGGGGCGGTTTGGTCTTTTGTTGATGGGTGGCAGTGGCTCTGCTGGAATTTCACTTCTGTCCGCTTGGGCAAATGGCCCGGTTACTCCGTAATATTCATGAACTCTGGGGGTGTTTGTTGGTTGCATGATTTTTGAGCGGCTTGGGGAAACATACGTGCAGATAGCCTCATTGAATCGGTGGACGCTCTTTGCTTTGTCTTCTCTCTCTCTTCCTTGCTCTCAATTTCAATCCTTGCTCTCTCCTAATTTCCACTCTCTCTCCTGCTCTTCCAATTAACGGACCAATTTCTCCCCTTCACTTGCTTACGCCTTGTGGCAAAGATCAGCAATCAAGATTAATCTCTCTCTTCTCCTAGCCACCATCCCTCCTTCCTGTAGGCTTCAGCCCACCAACCCTTGCCGCCCTATTTGTAGAATAGTTCTATTAGTTATTTCTTAGCATTTTATTCTAACATATCCTTAAACACAAGTTAATTTGGAATTCACCGTTTAAAGATTTTAATTATCTCTTGATTTTGAATACCACTTTCACTTGCTTACGCCTTGTGGCAAAGATCAACAATCAAGATTAATCTCTCTCTTCTCCTAGCCACCATCCCTCCTTCCTCTAGGCTTCAGCCCACCAACTCTTGCCGTCCTATTTGTAGAATAGTTCTATCAGTTATTTCTTAGCATTTTATTCTAACCTATCCTTAAACACAAGTTGATTTGAAATTCACCATTTAAAGATTTTAACTATCTCTTGATTTTGAATACCACTTTTATTGAAAAAGAAAACGAAAAAAAGAAACTCACCTATTTTAGCACATGATTTAAGAACACAAAATAACCTATAATTTTGCAGCTTATGGTACAGATTACAAAAAAAAAAAAAAATCATCAGCCAAGTAAGAGAAAGAATCATCAAATAAGTAAGAATTATAGATCCCAAGAACCTAGAAAGTAGAAAAGAAAATTTTAAGCTCACGAAATTATTAGACTCATTTTCAATGGATGATGTCCTGTCCAAAGAAACCATTGTTGCTCCCTCCATTCTTGAACACTTTTAATCTATCAATTAAACAATCATTTGAATTGCAACAAAAAGGTCCAATATGAAACCTGATTAGGAGACATGGTAGTATATATAAACCAAGGTCATGGTGGGATAGAGTTGAATAAAAATTATATATCATGAACATAGACCTATTAATGTAAAACAAAAAAGCCCCTGAATATACAAAAAAGATTAATTCAATTTTACATTGGTTTGAAAATATTTTTAAATATGTTTGAATGCTCATTCAAGTCTAGCAAACAAAAGAAAATGACAAACCCATTTTATAATTGTCTTTCTTTATTTCTTTCTTCTCAAAGATTGTTAAATGTGAAGTACTAGCAAATAGAAAGTGTCAAAAAAAATGAAAATTGTCAAATTGCTTGTCTTAGAGAAGCAATGTGACTAATAAGCAAGGCTACACATTACATGTATAGCCATATGTCTTTTAGTTCTACCTAATTTTAGGCATTATTTATTGATTAATGCTATAGTAAAAATGTTAAATAATCATGCCTTTTAGTTCTGCCTAATTTTAGGCATTACTTACAGATTAATGCTATATGAAGAATATAAGATAATCTGATTTCAAAGTCATATTTATTTGTGCAATTAGGAAAAAATACAGTCACACACATGACTACTGTATCTAACGAAGAAAAAAATACAAAAAATATAACAGTAAAATAACGAGTGTCAACTACCTACGCATGGGTCAGGGCTGAAAAACTAGTTATAAATAACATTCGCAGATATATAACGGCTAGTTTTCTTAATTCTTTCCCTTCCGCTTTCTGGATGCTTATTATGTTCTCTTCCCCACACATTTTCCCTTTTGATCAATCATCATCCCTCATGCACTTCAATCTTTTGAATCACTTAATTCTTCTCTCCTTTTCCATAATCACCTTTCTTCATTGCATTGTTTTTCACTGAAACTTTTCAATCCTCAAATATTCGTCTAGTAGAGTACTGTTCTGTCGAACTAAAACCATTTTCTTGATCATATTGTAAAATGTAAAAGGGTTCATAAAATCGCTTTCCCAGAAATTCAGAAAGAAAATCTGAGGGAGTTTCAATCAAGAGACCTTTTTCTTTCGCAAAAAAGATAAGGCTTTTCTAAAGATTGAACAAAGATCACATTTTTTGAAGAATTTTGTGGATTGAGTCTGCATCAGTGATGAGTAATTCTGAGAAGAATTGTCAAGTAAAAGGGTTCTTGACTCCACCACCAAAATGGAGATCAAATCGGTGTGTGCCAGTGATGCCACGTACAGAAAGGAAACCATGGAGTTCAGGGAATGGTCATTTGGGCCTCAAGACTGATCTTTTTCATGTCATTCATAAAGTTCCTGCTGGAGACTCGCCTTATGTTAAAGCCAAACATGTCCAGGTTTGTTCCCAGTTTTTCTAAAATCCCAAGTGGATTTCAATTTTCGTTGATTTGGGTTCAATCTTGCGTTCTTTCTGATTTAGTATAGCATTTGAAAGAATCTATTTTGGTTGGTATATTTTGCAAATATTGTTTGTTCTTGAACTCTGATATCTGGGTTCAGTATCTTTGTTGAACCCTGGTTCTTTACAACATCTGATAATATCTGTTTTCCAGCAAGGATGCAATTTATGGGAATAGGAAATGTCCTGTCTTTTTTTCTCTATGTTGAATTTCAAGTTTCATAGATGTAGGTTTTTGATGAAGGAATTAATTTTTGGATAGGGGCTATGGACGGATTCTCTTTCCCAATTTTGCAATATTAATGTGTAGATTCTACTCAATAGGTCAATGAGTTGAGTCACATTTTGGGAAAACTTCCAATGAGACATTCTCTGTCATATGTTTGATGAAATTCTAGTATGCTAATTCCACCACTACAGTTACGTGCAATTGCCGTGTTGTTTATGTACTGAGACGGGTGACTTAAGAATAGCTTGAAATTGCATTCCAAAAATGTAAAGATTCTTGATTTTTTCTCCTTTTGAAATGTGGTGCTTTTAATTCTCATATATAGGTGATAGACAAGGATCCTAGCAGAGCCGTCTCTCTGTTCTGGGCGGCAATCAATGCTGGTGATCGAGTTGATAGTGCTCTCAAGGACATGGCAGTAGTAATGAAACAATTGAATCGGTCAGATGAAGCGATTGAAGCAATTAAATCTTTCCGACATCTTTGCCCTCTTGAATCTCAAGAATCTCTTGATAATGTGTTGATCGAACTTTACAAGGTGAGATGAAACCAAATATAAGATTTCTGTCCCTTCTTTCATTGCTTTTCTCTTTCCCTATATTCTCTTCTATCAACCAATATTTGCAGAGAAACTAGAGAAGGTTCTTTACATCGAATTGTTTGTGCACTGAATCTACTGCTTTTGGCTCCAACTACGTTTGTTTACATGACATTCAGGATAAGGTCATAAAAAGATCATGAGTCCTACTTCTGGAGAGTTTGTATGGATCTATAAATTGCTTAAATGTCCTTGAGTAGCTTTTTTCAATATCTTCACTTTTAGGTTTAACTTGAAATGGAATGAAGAAAAAGAAAAAAAAAAGGAATGGAATGGATCTAATGAGGAGAAGGGAAATAGAGAACTGACCATCTGTTATTTCACCTAAGGTGGAAAGTGTCGTTGACACTTGCTTGATCAACAGGACCTTTTTTGCTTTTTTTGGCAGTGTACATCTTCCAAGCTTGAGTTGTACTGCCAGTTTGATTAGGCATATGTTCTTTTCCCTTTTTTCTTGTGACTAAGATGTGTGTGTTGGTCGGGCATTTTCATTTACCTTCAGAGATCTGGTAGGATTGAAGAAGAGATACAGCTGTTAGAACATAAGATCAAGAATATTGAAGATGGCATTGCTTTTGATGGGAAGAGGACAAAGATGGCCAGATCTCAAGGGAAGAAAATACATGTCACAATTGAGAAAGAGTACTCTAGGTGAATATCTATGTTCTATAAATGCATTCATTGCTTAAAAGGATTTATTTTACATACATATATGACTGATTCCTGGAATTTGGAAACTTCTGAACAGATTGTTAGGTAACTTAGCTTGGGCGCAATTGCAGCTAGAGGATTATAAATCTGCAGAAGAGAGTTATAGGTACGTTTTCTTGCATTGAGTACACACATGTACATGCAAATAGCACGTGTCTAGTTTAGCTTGTTTCTTACAAGTTAATTCTTTGTTCCCAGAAAAGCACTTTCACTTGAACCCGATAAGAACAAGCAGTGCAACCTGGCAATTTGCTTGATATACTTAAACAAGACTGCAGAAGCTAAATTTTTGCTTCAATCTGTAAGAGCTTCATGCGTTAATGAGCAAATGGATGAATCATATGGTAAATCCTTTGAGCGCGCTACTCAGATACTGGAAGACCTTGAAAAGCAAAGCAGTGTCAGAACTATGGCTTGGGAAGAAGGCATATGTGGAGAAGCTCAGACACCTTTCCCATCAGGTGTAAGAAGAGACGTCATAGGATTATCTGGAGATAGTAATGGGGGTCAAAGTGATCATCCAGGAGGTGGAATGTCTCAAGGGTCATCGTTTCTGCATCAAAACAAAATGATGTCAGTGGACAATGAAATGAAGGGCAGAACTGGTTTTTGGAATTACAAAGAAAGTGACCTTAGTTTCCCTCGTGGCGGCAAAAAAAGAAATGAAAATCAGCTCAGTAATGGCCAACTTAAGATGTATACCTCTCCAGTTTCTCTTGCAGGACATCCAAAGGATCTATTTACCCAACCACGAAAATGCTTATGGTCATCCAATGGAGATCAGAGAAGGGGCCGACTTGCAGAGGAAGCAGCTGGTGGCTGCAATAGAAAATTGTCATTTGAGCAGCACAAAAATCACGAAAAGTTGCAGTTTGAGAGCCTCCATAATTATGAGAAAATTTTCTCCTTATCTGCAAATAATGAACCCAAAACATCAAGACCAAAAGCATCAACTAGTGAAAATTGGAGGAGAAATATGTTGCCGAATCATGCTAAAACAAGCAGTGAGCTTTCTTGGAAGCCTACGGATCATGGAGAGTGCAAAATGAATGTATTGGAAACTGATGAGCAACTGAATGCCGCCAAGGATGAGTGCAAGGAGAAATGCAGTATGCCTCCAGAGTTAATAGTCGATAGTGAAAGAACGAGTGTTAAGGATTTCTCCAATGTAGATTGTGAACAGAGTTCTACTTCTTTGACTGCAGATAATGGGGAATTGATAGGAGCAGCTAAAAATGATTGCAAAGAACAGAAATCAAGTCAGCAACTCTCTGCAACAAACTCAAAAGAGTCACATGATTCCTCCAAAAGCAAGAAGAGTTGGGCTGACATGGTTGAAGAAGATGAGTGGAAGTTAGAAAGTGAAACACATGATTTTCCTGTTCATACAGGGGGATTGTCATTTAACAAACCTGTTTCTTGCAGATCACCAAGCAAGTACACTGATGAGTTCAAAGGGAGAGAAGGCTTCTCCAATGAGAACTTCAATACAAACATTGTTCTTCAGACCCCTGATCTTCCGGACAAGTCTCAGAATTTGAGCCAAAAGATTGAATCATTGAGTCTGAGAGGTGGTTATTACACTCAGCCTCACCATGATACTGTGTCCAAAGATGGAACAATGGAGCAATCCTTGTCTTTTGGTGTCCATCAGAACGCAGACGAATCAGCAAACTGCTTTTCTTCTCCAGTGCATAAGAGAGCCTTGGATTTTGGGTTTGATGAGCATCACGCTACTCCAAATGGCATAAACTTACTGCGAAGGAACCGATTGCAGGTTTTCCAAAATATAACTCCTGAAAGTCCGAGATGCTGATTGACTTGTATAGATAATCAGAAGTGTGAATAACATTTTACTACATTCTTGAAAAGATTCTTGTCTATTCATTTAAGGGCTGATTTGTCTGTGGATTTTTTCCCCCTATTTGTGCATGATGAAGCTGTAAATTTGTTCACTTTTCCAAGGAGATTAAGAATGAACATGGTTGCAACTTGCTTTCCATCATGGATGTGTCTGCAATCTATACTTGTAGTTTTAAAAGAGAGTAATATATTTTTGTTCTACACTAATGCACACACTTTTATCCTTACACACTTAGGTTATGTTCCAGTACCTAAGTTGTTTGATGCATGAATAAAAAACCTTACCTGACTCATTACTATTGTACAGCAAATTTGAGCCTAAATAATGCATGTATCTACCAGAGCAAAAGAAACAATCTAGCATCAAATAAAATTTGGATTTACCAACTCAACTCATTTAAGGGATAAAAGGGAGAGGGAATTGATGAGCACATGGAATCAGGTCGCCCCCTATTTTTTTCTTATCGCAGAAGTTTCTTTGTAAGTTATCTAGTCAGTAAACAACATTTCAATTACAATGTGTTCAAAGGCGTTTTCTGGGCAGCCCCAAGGGAGTCCTGGGGCGGAGAGAGCCTCAAATGTCCAAGGGTGATTGAATGAGGCGTCTGTGTTGTTGGGCAATGGCCCCATAGTGCTTAGGGAGTTCAGTATTCCGGAATTTGGGGCTTTTTTTTTTAATGTTGAACTTTGTTTTTTCTTTTCTTTCTTCCTATTTTTTGTTTCCTATCTCATTATTGTTCTTTATTAATCTTAAAAAAGGATTTCATTTGTTTTCTCCTTGAAAATTGTTTGGAAAAAATACAAATAGAAGCATTTATGACGTTGTTTCTTATACTTTTTTTTTTCCTTTTCATTGATGCCAAGATATAATTATTTTCTACTAACATGACTAGATGACTAACGTGTGGTTTAGACTTTAAATTTTGATACTTAATGATTTTATTTTTAAACGGGCATAGGTTATAGGTTCAAGCAATTGAGCATTAGCCTTATAATTTGAACACTTTGTGGTCATGAAATCCCATAATTTTTAACAAAAATGCATTAAAATTTAAGATTATGGTTTTTCTTATAATGTTTCTGTAATTTTCTTGAATTTTATCGAGTTTTTGTATTTATTAGTGATATTATATATATATATGTTATTCTTATATTTTTTATCTTTTTATATAATACAAATATCAAAATACCTGGGACTTACATCCCATGCCTCAGGACTTTTGCATTGATTGGGTAGACATTAAATATCCAGTTCAACACCTCCACCTTTTAAAACATTGATTACAAAATGATAGTCCTAGTTCTCATTTTTCAAAATCAAATTTCATTTCTAAACCACTGTCAAACTATTTTTCGAAAGTGTTTCACATGTAATATAAACTTGTACAACCATATATAGAAGCAAGCATACAGTTGATGTAAAGTGCATGCAGGCAAAATGTGAATTATCTACTGTTTTACGTGGAGATTCAGTACTTATACAGAGCTTAACTAAATCATGTGCTCTCATTAGTCTCATAGCACAACATATCCCAATCACATCACATTTTTGCTCATGAATACACACAATCTTGTTCATAAATCATTTATATGTTCAGCATCCAATGCAGCAATTCAAAAAGTAAAAGATCTACACTTCAAACTGTACAGTGTAAAGCAACTATTCTGTTCAATGTAAACTTCAAACTGTTCAAACTGTTCAAGCCAAGATAAGTATTAGATCTACTTTGGCATCAAGTTCTTTTCCATATGATCGCTGCTTTAGTATAAGATTCAAAGCGCAACCCTTGAAAGCTAAAGTGTTCTAATGGTGATTAAACTAATAAAAAGATAATATAAAAAGGTCCCATTGAAAGGGATTATTCTTACTACAGTATAATTTACTGTTGTTTAGGATTCGTGTATACTATTTAAAATTTTCTACAGCTACCACTTTCCAACAAGTTGATTTATTTGATCAATTACGAATATGTTTCTTTTGATAATTTATACGACCAAGTTAGTAGTTTTCTAAGAGGCAAAGATTTTGATTTTAGGGTTATTAAGTCGCTTTTGTAGTTCTTTGCTTTTGATGCAGTCAAACTTTAGACTCGTGTTCTTTTCAGAAGATGAAGCTTATAAAGGTAGTCCTATGCAGTGAAAGTAGGAGTACAAAGACAAAATCAGAAATGCAAAATCAAGCCTATTTTTTCTTGGTTCTTCTAGCTCTTCCTCACTCACTCTTTGCTTCTAGTAATGATGCAAAGTGTCAATGTGATGAAGCAAAAATCAACCGTGGAGGTTTCCCAGAAAATTTCTTGTGGGGTGCAGGAACATCTGCTTACCAGGTAAATGCACTGTTCTCCTTGTCTCTGTCCCTTTTTGTTTCATTTTACTCCAAATGCACAGCCGGGATTTTGACCTCTCTAAAATTTGCAAAAATTTTATAGAGCTTGGTTTTGTATGGATTACAAAACTTCATGAATCTTGAAAATTTGGCCACCTCTTATGGAAAATGTTTTCAGATTTACGTTTATATTCATTACAAGATTGTGTAACATAACTCCAACTCAAAATTAAACAAAACTTATGCTTTTTTTATATGAATATGTATATGTTCTCTGTGTTTTAGGTTGAAGGTGCATATAATGAAGGTGGTAAAGGTCCAAGTTTGTGGGATAACTTCACTCATGCATACCCAGGTACTTCTCTTAGGGTTTGTATTCCTTTTTTTTCCCCCTCTAATGAATCACATCGCCAAACTATTGTGAAAATTTCTTGCATACTCATAGTTGATCAATTGAATGTTGTATACGTGTTATTTATCAGAAACAAATAATTTGCTAGATTATGTGTTTAACTAGACATAACTCTGATTTGGGTTTTCACTTTTTAAAATAATGGGTTGGTTCTTTTAGTTTTAGTGTTTTGTATTTTATTGTTTTAGTTAGTATATATAATATATATTATATTATTATAAAATATATAATATATATTACATACTAATATATATACGCACACACACATACATACATACTAGTATTAAGGACACCCAATCTGTATGCAGTTTAAAAATAAGTATTGCTTTTTATGAATATATTAATTTTTGTTTTTACAAAAACAAATTTTATAAATTCTTCATGAAAAAAATTACAATATATTAGTAAATTTTTTCTTTAATACAGTTGTAATTAATTTGGTAGTTACTATATGTAAAGGAGTTATGGGAGATTATGTTAGCAAATATTATTAGGTGGTTAGGGTAAAAATTAATTTTTTAAGGATAAAATTCAAAATTTTAAAAATGACAGAAAATATGTACCCCAACTGCTACTTCTCTCCCTTTATTATTGTATAGACGGTCAATAGAGTTAGATCAGCCCAAGTGCAGCTTATGCATCCTTAAAAAAACAAGTTGAACCTAGTGCTTAATTGGGCTAGAAATAGCTTGGGCTTAAATATTATGGTGAAATTAGATGTGGGAGTCTGAGCCTTATTAGGCTCAGTCCATTAAGGGTCGGCCCAAATAATTATACATTTAAGTATGTAAAATATAAATAATAATATATCTAATCTATAATTATGCAGATTATTACTTAAAAATTAATAATTTATAGATAATCATATAATAATACACAAATATTATCGCTTGCTATAAACAATTATGTATTGAATTGTGAGGTTGGATCAAAGCTAAAATAATTTTGTGAACCGAGTATGAATCTTATAATAATGAGCCCATATTCAATGCCCAAAACTCTTAGTTCTTTTGAGAGCCAAACCTGGACTTAACACAACCTAGCTAGCTCAGCAGCCTCGATTGAAAGACCTAACTTTTACACATTTTGGTTTTTTAAATGACCCAAATGGATTGATAACTAGAAGACAAGTAATGGCATGGAGCCCATCTATTTTGGGCTTTGGCATAATTCACTGCATGAATTTAGACCCATTTGGTTTGGCTATGGATCTCTTTCTATGTAAATTCATGGGTTAATATCTGGGTTAAGCAATCTAAATTTAGACTCTACTTTTTGCTATGTTTTTTTTTTTTTTATATTTTCTAGATCGATAACTTGTTGATCAATTTTTTGAATAGAGAAATTTGCTAGTTAGTTAACTTTGAAATTAATTAGGTGCAAAAATGCCTCAACAGATCTTCTGTTCCACACCCTGTGTCACTCTCTGTCCCACTTTTTATTATATTGTTATTTTTCCTTCATAAATATCATGTTTTAATTCTTTTTTGTTTCCTTAAGATTCAATAATTATTAATTAAGTAAAAAATAAATACAACAGCATAAAAAAAGCAATATATAATAGAAAATTAAAAAATACAGCAGAAAATTCATAAAAAATCTCATTTTTTATGCATTTTGATTTTTTGAGTTTGTTAAATTTTGTGTATTACTCAATTAATAGTTATTGGATCTTAAGGAAACAAAAAAGAATTAAAACATGATGCTTATGAAGGAGAAATAGCAATATAATAAAAAGTGGGACAGAGTGTGGGACAGAAGATTCGTTGCGCAAAAATGCTAACTTTGAAATAATGGTTAATTTCCTATTGTACTTAGCATTTGACAATACACCTTGTTGATGTAAATTTTACATGCACTTTTTCATTTTCTCCTTCTTCTTATTGGGTTAGAATATCCTTTGCTCCACAAACTCCATATTTTTTGTGTAATTGGAATTGCAGAGAAAATTGTAGACCAAAGTAATGGAGATATTGCTGTGAATTCCTATCATTATTTTGAGGTATTTACAAAGTAATTTCTTCATCAGCACTTCTAACATGTAAAATGTGAGCAACAACTTTTCACATCTTATCCATTAGTTAGCAAACTACCTCCTGGACATTTTAGCCATTATCTACCAATGCATGCAGACCCTTTCTTTTCCTTTTTTTTTTTTCAACAGAGGAGGAGTGGAATTTAAAAAGTAGGGAGGGACAGATAGATTAGAACTCAAAATTTCTAATTTTTAGAGTCTTAACCGTAAATATAAATCTTTACTCCGACAGAGAAAAACTAATCTGATAAATCCTTGAACTGACTAGTAACAAAAATTTTAGGTAACAATGTGGCTTATGCATGCAAGGGAACATCAAAATCTCAAGTTTTGGTTAAGGTTAACAATATGGCTTATGCATGGATAGTTGCCATTGTTTATATTCTCCTCTATTGCTGTGTAGGAGGACATAAAAATCACAAAAGATTTAGGGCTAGATGCATACAGGTTTTCTATCTCATGGTCAAGGATACTACCAAGTGAGTGAAATTTATCTATTATCTGTGGTCCTTCCAGTGTGATTAACAAAAGTACCCTTATCATGCATATTCTCTGCATTTGTATGGCTTTATATTTGAGATAGTTTCTCTTTCCTTTGGTCCTGACCAGGAGGAAATCGAAATGGAGGAGTGAACCAAGAAGGAATTGACTATTATAACAACATCATCAATGATTTACTAGCCAATGGTAATGATGGTTACTAAAATTCATGAAAATTTTGGTATACTAAAAAGGGTATATATAACAAGTGCCTTAGAAAACTCGTTAATTGGGTTTCAGTGTAAATTCTATAGAATTGTGTGCTTAAATGATAGATTGCGTGTGAATGTGTACCTCAAGCCAATCAATATTGTCCTCAACTGTTTTTACAAAATTTCTGATGAATTTCATGAATCGTTGTCAATTGTTTAGTTGCTTGAGAAGTAAGAGCACAACAAACCAAATTGGTTTTTTTTTTTTTTTTTTTTAAACATGACAGCCAAAGTCACATAAAAGCAACTGCTAGGTGACTACAATAGATACTATACCATACAAATTCCTAGGATACATATATTATACATCCAAAATTTCTTTAATTGCATGTATAAATATGCAGGTATACAACCATTTGTGACCATGTTTCATTTCAATGTGCCTCAAGCCCTAGAAGATGCATATGGGGGCTTCTTAAGTTCTCGAATTGTGTAAGTACATGAATTAAAACTGATTTCCTACTTCTTTCTGAAATGATCTGTTTCCACAAGAGTGCTTGTGTCTATGTCAATTACATAAAACATCTAATCGAGTCATATAATCAGTGGAACATTAAATCACATGGTTTTTAGTTTTTCAACGAAAATGTTTATATAGGTAATATTGAAAAATCAACTTGTTAAGGCCTTTTTTCTTTAAGTAAATCTTATATATACTAACAATTTATACACTATCATGATCAGATGCACGACATATTTGCAAAATTTGGGTTTCAAATTCAAATTAGAATTTATGTCATGCATCGAATAGTAAAAGTGTATATACTGTCAGTGTATATAGAAAATTAATCCTTTTTCTTTTACCAATCTATTTCCATTCTTGGCTTTAAGCAACGATGGCATGTTCATTACAAGCAGTTGAAAATTAGTGTAAATACAAAGGAAGAATTGAATGAACTTCTCGAATTAATAGTTAATTCAAAGCTGAAACTACAATACAAATATCAGTCAGCCATTGTAAGGGAAATAAAATTCGTAAATAAAACAAAAAGATTTAAATAGTACAAGGTTCGGATACACTTATAGTCATAAAACTACTGAAAAGTTCCATTTTGCATACTGTAAATTTTCTTTTTAATACTTTTCAGCCATTGAACTTCCAAAAGTGTAATATTTTGGTTACATCTTTAATTTGCCTAGGTCATTCTTGGAGTGCATTATTGCGTTAATTTGCCTTCCATAGTTTCTTTGATATAACACAAACAATTTAACTAAATGACCAAAATGGTGCACATCTAAAACTCTAATTGGTCAATTGATACATTCAAAAGCTCAATCGACCACTATAAAAGTAACATATGTAATATAACATAACTATATTTTAAGCTATCCAATAGTGTATACACAAACAATACACATAAAATCAATCCTTTAAAAGTAACGTAAACTATCTAAGTACTTGTATAACAAAGATACAAAGATAGCAAAGATAACTATTAGGTACTTATGCATACACAAAGATTGTATGTATGTATGTGTTCTACAAAATTCTCTGTGGATAACAAACTAGATGAAGATAGAAAGAAGGATATATACAGCATTTTCCATTAAAAAAATCGTGAACAATGGTACACATCAACATCCAGGATGTTTTAATCCAATTCTGAATTCAGCTGTCACTTAATCAGAAGGAAAATAAACGTTATTTTCAGATCATCAAACTGTGATAACTCTTTGCTAAACTGTCAAACAACAAGGAAAGGAGCGTTCAAAGGCTTGAAAGATATTTGCCTTAGAACTCCTCTCCAGTTCTATAATAGAATGAGCTATTGCAATAGTCCATTTTGATCGTAATTTACACCTAAGATAATGATTAAGCTATTCTGACATGCAAAACAGGGCTGATTTTCGAGACTTTGCTGATATTTTGTTCAGCAAATTTGGTGATAGAGTTAAGTATTGGATTACTTTGAACGAGCCATGGACTTTCAGTAATCATGGCTATGCAATTGGTAGATTTGCACCTGGCCGATGTTCTGAATGGCAGCAAATAAATTGCACTGGTGGTAATTCAGGAACAGAACCATATATTGTCACACACAATCAACTTCTTGCTCATGCAGCAGTTGTACATTTGTACAGAACCAAATATCAGGTTTCAATTCATCAATCCCTTAGTACTGACAATTTTTTTTTCAACAATAGATACAGGTGAACTAAACTACACTCAACGCACACCAAGGAGAGTCTCACTCAACCTAAGAGGACTCACAAGAATTTTTTTCACAATTAAGGTATAAGACTTTAGGATTGCTAATATGATGCTAATCATGCAGATATGGCAGAAGGGAAAGATTGGAATTGCACTTGCCGCAATATGGTTTGAGCCATATAATTCAACGGATGAAAATTTAATGGCTACAGACAGAGCCCTTGATTTCATGTTGGGATGGTAAGTAATTGGTGGGCTTTGGCTTACATGCACTCTCTTTTTTTTTAAAATAAATAAAGCAAGGGATTGATGTGATTTAAAAAGCAAAAAGAAAGAAAAGGGATAAACTCAAGACCTCCAAACTCTACAGCCTTAGCTTTAACCACTAAGACTAAGGGGGTGTTTGATACAACTGAAGTATGAAACTTAAGTCTGAAATTTGAAATATAAAATTTGAATCTATTAAGTTATTGAATTGTTAAGTATTAAATTTAATACATTTGAATGCATATCATATTCAATGATAAGTGAATAACTCATCACTTAATTTAGTGAGCAAGTTTTGCCTGAAAAATTCAGTACCACTTAATTAATTTAGATATTTAATTTTTTATTATCAAACGCGTCTAAATATGTTAAGATCTATAGTCATTAAATTTAAATGTTGAATTGGATTATTAAACAGGACCTAAAACCTCCTCTGCTACATGCATTCTATTAAAATTCAACGTGCAGACTTTTTTTAACCTACTAAAAGCTTCACTGGTGTCATATGGTATAACTCTTATTTTAAGGTATCCCTGAATATTTCATGGGAATTTTGTTCTAGGCCCTATTTGGATCATATATTAGTGCAGGAAATCATACACTGAAGAAAGAAATATTTTTCTCAACGATATGTGATATTATATCCACATGTAAATAACACTATAGTTGTAATTACACTTTTTTTGGGTATGATATTTTAGACTTTGCATTATTGCATATATAATTGCGAACTTTGACATCTTTTTTTTTAAGACTTTTCATTATTGCATATGTAACTGTTAACTTGGACATCTTTTTTTTTCTTAGGCATTATTTGGACTAACTGTTTTTTCACAGTTTAGACCATAATAGTGCATTATTATATGAGTAATGGTGCTCTCAATATGTTATTCACACTTCTCTTACCACTTTCCTCTCCAAAATTTGTCATGTCATGAGAGAAAAAAGTTTGAGGCACTGTTTGGATTGAGGGAATGGGTGGGAAAGGAAAGTAGAGGAATTGGAGAGATTTGGTCTTTATTGTTTGAATAGATTTTTGAGGAGGGAAAAGAAAGGATAGAAAGGGAAAGGGAGGTAGGGGTGTGCATTCGGTGCAAAATCGGTAATTCGGTGCACTGAATTCAGTGAATTCGGTTATTCTACCTATAGAAATCTAAACCGTTTTCAATTCCGAATTAATCATAACCGAATTCATACCGCAACCGATTTCAAATTTTAACCGAATTCATCTATTAAAAAAAAGTAATAATTTATCTATTAATTTAAACTAGAATAAACCTTAGACTATACAATGATTGGTGATAATTTATGAATTTATAATTTACAATGATTAATAATAAGTAATATTAGTTAGTAGTTACAATGAATTTATAATTTACAGTGATTAATAATAAATAATATTAGTTACAAACTTACAAATTACAATAATTAGTGATAAGTTATATTAGTTACAAACTTATAATTTATTTCAAATCAAAATAAAAACTTATTTACTTACACGTGTTATTGTGAAAGTCAATATACTAATACATTGATTTGTAATTCACATGCATTCACTTACATTGCTTAGTTGTCTTGTTTATACTTAAAACCTTAAGATTAGTAAATAAATAATATGACTTTTAACTTGTTTGATAACTTATACCTAGAATCCTTAGTCTATGATTTAAGGAACACAATGATTAGTGATAATTTATGAATTCATAATTTACAATGATTAATAATAAGTAATATTAGTAACAAACTTACAAATTACAATGATTAGTGATAAGTTATATTAGTTACAAACTTATAATTTATTTCAAATCAAAATAAAACTTATTTACTTACATATGTTATTGTGAAAGTCAATATACTAATACATTGATTTGCAATTCATATGCATTCACTTACACTGCTAACTGCTTAGTTGTCTTATCTATACTTAAAGGCTAAAGCCTTAAGAATTAAGATTGGTGCATAGATAATATGAATTTTTATGTTAAATATGTAGAGTACACTAATACTTGCAAATTACAGATTACGCATTCAAATATTCAATAATTCAAATATGAATGATATATCAAATTACCAATATCTAAATTCTAATTATGAATTATGTTTATTGTTTAATATTTAGTATTATACATATATGTATTAATTATTTTCTAATTCTAATCATGTTACTCATGTATAAAATAATAAGTATTATAGTTATCTTATATTGTTATGTATTACTATATATTTGTATTATTATAGTCATAAAACAATTAACAAATACTAAAAGAATATATTGTATATTATTATATATTATTATTATTATTATAAGTACATGATATGATGATAATACCATATACTAATTATTATTAATAGCATTTACCTATATAATATAATAAAGTATTAGTAGTACATACTAATACTAAATAGCATTTATCTATGTATTATATAATTTTATATATCAATTTGGTAATTCGAATGCGGTAATGCGGTACCCGATTTCAATTACCGAATTTGAATGCGAAATCGGTTATTACCAAATTCATAATCTCATTACCTATTTCATACCATATTAGAATTCGGTGAATTCGGCATGTACCGAATTTGTACCAAATTACCAAATATCCGATTTCAAATTATTGAATTGAATTTGAAATCGGTTATAAATTCGGTAAGAACCGAATTTGCTCACCCCTAAAGGGAGGGAATGAATCTAGTTATTTTGTTGAGTTATGGTTTCCATCCAAAAGTGAGCAAAAATGGAGAAAAATGAAACTAAATTAACCGAAATAATTTAAAATTTTTTGAAAATTTTTTTTTTCTATTTTTCAGTAAATTAACACTTGATCTTTCCTTTTTTTTTTCCCTTCTTCAATACAAACAAAAAATTCAGTTTTTTTCTTTCTTTTCCTTCCATTCTTAATCCAAATAAGATGGATGGAAACCACTTTCCTTTACTCTCCTCTCCTTTCTTTTTCATTAGTATTAATATTATTATATATTATTATTATTATTATAAGTACATGATATGATGATAATACCATATACTAATTATTATTAATAGCATTTACCTATATAATATAATAAAGTATTAGTAGTACATACTAATACTAAATAGCATTTATCTATATATTATATAATTTTATATATCAATTTGGTAATTCGAATGCGGTAATGCGGTACCCGATTTCAATTACCGAATTTGAATGCGAAATCGGTTATTACCAAATTCATAATCTCATTACCTATTTCATACCATATTAGAATTCGGTGAATTCGGCATGTACCGAATTTGTACCAAATTACCAAATATCCGATTTCAAATTATTGAATTGAATTTGAAATCGGTTATAAATTCGGTAAGAACCGAATTTGCTCACCCCTAAAGGGAGGGAATGAATCTAGTTATTTTGTTGAGTTATGGTTTCCATCCAAAAGTGAGCAAAAATGGAGAAAAATGAAACTAAATTAACCGAAATAATTTAAAATTTTTTGAAATTTTTTTTTTTCTATTTTTCAGTAAATTAACACTTGATCTTTCCTTTTTTTTTTTCCCTTCTTCAATACAAACAAAAAATTCAGTTTTTTTCTTTCTTTTCCTTCCATTCTTAATCCAAATAAGATGGATGGAAACCACTTTCCTTTACTCTCCTCTCCTTTCTTTTTCATTAGTATTCTTTTCTTTTCTTTCCCTTCCTTTCCTTCAATCTAAACGGTACTTGAGAGGAGTGTAAATAAAAAATTTTTAAAGTGCCATTAACATTGTCCATTCTCTTTACAGAAATTTAAGTTAAAAGGATTAGTTACATAATTAGCAATCGATTTTTTTAATTCATGTTTCAACTTTTCCACAACCTGAATTCCAATTTGAGGTCATCACTTCCATATTGAAGGGATTAAGAAATATATGAATATTTTTTCCGCTTTTACATAAATAATTAATATCCTTCTCCCACTTTTAAAGAACTTCACACAATTAATATTTCTTACCTTTAGGTTTATGCAGCCATTAACATCTGGACAATATCCGCAAAGCATGAGAGTTCGTGCTGGCAATCGGTTGCCCAATTTCAGCAACACTGAAAGGGATTTGTTGATACAGTCGTTTGACTTCATAGGATTGAACTACTACACTTCCAGATATGTTTTGGATAAGCCTAATCCATCTAGCTTGAGCTACATCAATGATTCTGAGGTTGATATTGTAGGTATGGATAGCTCAAACCCTTTTTTTTTTTTTAATATACATTGAATTAATACACGTTTTAAGGGAACCTTAAACTATCCGTACTACAATTTGTCGAGAATACAATGTCTTCACTCGAATGTTATAAATCAGACTAAGCTTTTCTTTGTTTGTGAAGTTAAAATTATTTTGGCAGAAATTCGTGTTTAATGTAATCAAGGGTGATTCTGTAGTAATTGAACTCATTATTGGCCTTCAAATTGGAGTTTACGCACTTCCAAAAATTCAAGGGAAGCTTTTCAAATGTTGAGAAAGTTCATGGAGATTAGTGTAATTACCATAGTTGTGTGTAGCATCTTTTTAATGTAACCTCAAATTTGACCTTTTTTTTTTTTTTTTTTTGTATTAGTTGAGAGAGACAATAAGCCCATTGGTGAAGTATCAGTAATTGGAAGTTGGCTCCATATCTACCCAAAGGGACTCAGAGAATTGTTGAACTACATGAAGATGAAATACAACAATCCCACCATTTACATTACTGAAAACGGTAATAGCAAATTCATTTGTGGTTTGAAAGTAAATACATGTTTATTGCTTCGTGTTCATAAACTGGAGATTTAGGACAAAATTAAATTTTCAAAATTAGCAACTTAAACAAATTTCATATTGCACTTTGTTTTGGTGGTGCCCCTTTGGTGATACCATATCAATATGGTGCCAATTTACTTCAATTGCTCACTGGATTACATAAATTAGAAACGAAATTATTCACATGAAAGATATATAGTACAAAAACTAGTTAGTTGTGCTTACAAATGAAGCCCATCAAAACAAACTTCTTTATCTTTTTTGAGTATGTATCTATCTTTATGTAGCATGCTAAGAAAAGAGAGAGAGTCATAATTGCTAGCTTTGCAAATAGTATGTTCAATATGTGACACATCCAAAAATTTTAAGGGGGAAAAAATATCTATGAATGAAATTGAGAAAGCTAAGTGAAATTTGAATAAATAGGGGTATAGAGTAGAATTAACTATTTAAGTACTTTAATATTTCTACCTTCTCCATAACTTGTTTCTTAGGGCTTAATGAGGCAAGAAATGACAGTATGACAATTCTTGAAGCTATCAAAGACGACATAAGAAAAGACTATATCCATGACCACCTATGTTGTATCCTACAAGCAATTGAGTAAGTTTCTCTTAATTGTTGTTGTTTCTCTTTTTTTTATGTATTTTTACTTATTTAATCTTCATCAAAACATTCAAGTGATTTTATAAATTCAAGTGATTTTTTAATTCAAGTGATTTTTACTTATTTAATCTTCATCAAAACATTCAAGTGAGTTTATAAATTTTGTCAAATATTTTTTTTAGATGACTCACATCATACTTGATCGGTCCAGGAAAAACTATGCAGACATAATATCTATGAGATTTCCAAGTTATAATCTCTTTTTAACTTTATACTTTTCCATACTATATAAGAAAAATACTTAAAAATATTTTACTCCAAAAAAGAATTTATTAAACTCCTAGGAAAATAGAAGATTATAATAAATGTTTATGAGGTAGAAGTATTCATTAAGTCAAAATCCAATTACCCATGTGCATCAACAGCAATCTAGTTAATTTAACAGTCCCAATGCATTTGTTTGTTAACTTTTTATTTAGTCAAAAACAATTCATCTACTTAGAAGAATATTATCAATGGACAAGCACAATCAAGATTGATTGATATCAAATTTGACAGGCAATTTGAAGTCAATGTGGGTGGCTACTTTGTATGGTCATTGATGGACAATTTCGAATGGGCTTTCGGCTACTCAATCCGCTTTGGCATCCACTTTGTGGATTACAATGACGAGTTGTTTACAAGATATCCTAAACACTCTGCTTTATGGTACAAAAGTATACTTGTTAAAAAAATTAAAATAGCTCAGTCAATAGTTTCTAATGATGCTAAAAAGGATAGACAAAAATATGTACCATCAAATGTTTTCTACCAATAACATGAATGAAATGGTTCTTACCACTTCTTTAAAACTTTTGAAGACATTTTTTTCTGGCAACTTTTGATGACATTGAGGTAAGAAAAAGTTGTTGGAGCATAAAAGCCTCTTGCATCTGGTAAAAGCTGTTGTGCTTGCTGAATCTTTTTATATCCCAATTTGCAAATCGGCTAAAACAATATGAATTAACATTGGGTAGGGCTATATCCACACCCCTCTTGTCTAAATTCACATCCTTTACGCCAAAATGTCCATAAAACCCACACTATTTATCAAGATTTTATAGGAACATCTTCAATACCAAAACTAATCTTTTGTGGTGGAAAAAGATGAAGCCAATCAAATTCATTTTTGCCCCCCACTTTACTGCATCCTTTTATCATCCCCTGTCCTTAGCTTCCAATATTGAAAACTTATAATAGCAACTATCATCATCAACTAAAACATACCAAAGCATAGCAAAAATTTACCAAAAAAATACTATTGATAATAAAAAAACAAAAATTTCAGGATCAAAATTGAAGAGTGATACTTGATTTTCAAATATCTATTGATAATAAAAAAAAAAACAAATGATGATCATGGCAATGATTTCATATTCACTTGGAACTAGAAGTGGGGAGCCATCGATTCATCCGCGAACTGGACTTGCTGTTCAGGGCAGTCGAGGAGCTCAAGAGAACCCTGTCGGATTTAGATGAGGCCGCGGATGATGCCAGCTCCACCGGGAGCAGCCGACCTTCTTCGGTAGAAGAAGCGGACTGAACCCCCTGATCCAATGAAACCCCTTCCATGGAGGATGAAGTGGACCCCACACGCACAGGGATATACGTATAAATGTAACGTAGAGTACTAGACAGCATACGAGTATGCATACGTATGTAATACATAGGGATTCAATGCAGCATTGATTGGAATTAACTGGCCCAGTTAACATTTGAACGACCCATCTGATCAAGAAATGCTGAGTGTGCAGCTCAACGGGAACTCAATTGTTGCTGTCCAATTCTTCGACTTCTTGGACAATTGGTGCCTGCTCTTGGTTTGTGAGTGCAAAGAGAGGTTGTTGCAGGAAGAAAAATGCGCATTCTGCTTAGTCCAGTTGAGAAGATCCTGACGGTCTGGTGCACTTAAGTAGATGTCATATGAAGAATTGAGACCAGGATTGCAGAGCACAATTGTTGGAATTCCCCCTTTAATTTTTCTGGGTTTGGCATATTTGCAATTGGACGACCAATCTCGTTGTGCACCCAGAAATTCTTTCCAGTGTTTGAGAAATTGAGGGTTTACGTCATCTATGACGTTGTACCATGCATCATCAGAGTGATGGGCCAGATCAATATGGCCTGCATAGTAATTGTGGGCCTGAGAATTGAGACTTCTTGCCCAGCATGTTTTACCAGTTCGACTTGGGCCTTCTATTATTATGGACATGGGCCTGTGTGGTCTGTTACCAGGCCCAGTAACATTTGTATCGGCCCAATGGGTCAAGAACGAAGGAACGCGTTCAAACTGTTTGAAACGAGCCACGTATGGTTCTGGCGGCTTCTGGAATATTCTAACCAGATTGCTGGACAGCTTGTCGTAATGAATAATGAACGATCTAGAATCGCCCCTCTTGATGATATTGAGGGCCATGCCCTTATCTTGCCCGGCAAGCGCAACGGCATATACCTCATCTGTTTTGTCAGATGAGAATCTGCTCCGGCCATCTGGTTGGAACTCTCCCCATTCGACAAAATCACCGTATTTGGATATGTAATCCCTAACTGCTGATGAATTTCTGGCACCTTGAACATTCGAATGGAACATCGAATTTGAAATGGGAGATTTGATATCGAAGAACCTCGCAGATTCAGTGCGAAATTTACTTTCGAATTGAATCAGACAATGTAGATGAGGAGAACCATCCTCGTGTGTTTCTTGAGCAACCCGTATGTAAATGGGGGAAATAGGGAACTGGATGTTCCTAATTGCATCTAATGCTTGTTGTTTGGGAAGAACACACCTGGGATAGGTGAGGAATAGGTTCTTCGCGTTTAGACTAGAGGGGTGTGGATTTAACCCCACCAATTAATATTTCCTATACTGACAATGTATACATTTGGGAAGTTAGATGAATGACACATCATCTAAATTTAAATTTAAACTACAAATTTTGTACACGTGACTTTCATTTAAATCTGCTAGTGTATATATTATCATTCTAGGAAAGATTTATCTAAACTATATACCTACCAGCTGAAAAGTATTGCTTTAAAAATAAAGAACGTGTAATAAATGAGATATTGTTCTACAATTAAATCATAAACAAATTTTGGGTATTGACACAATAGCTTTTACAACTATCTAGGTTGAAACTTAATTTCTTAGTTTTGGGTTATTCTACTAGGAAATTCACCTGATTTCAGTTCCCAGATGTGCAATTTTTTTTTATAGGTTTCTGCTTGAAATTTTCTATCTGCATGCAATTTTTACAAATGCTTTTAAGTTGCTTTCTTGAGCAGTATATTAATTAATTCCAAAAATACTTTATGCAATGACCTAACTCATTAATGTTTATCAATTATTGTTCGATTATACAATTCAAAACGAAGGATCGAGTTTAATTAATTACCAACTTGGTTAAACAGAAAACGGTATTGAAGTTTAGCTAGCTTCTAAGTTATGAGAATTGAAAGTGCAAGGCACAAACCAATTGTCACCACAAGACATTGAAGGTGTAAATCTTATTGGTTCAGTTACAATTATCTCATCATGTATCACTGATGCCAGTCACATGATAATGGATTACAATTAAAAATTTGTTTTTTGATAAGAATATAACTAGATGATTATTATGAATCCTCCATTAATTACGTCAAGTGTAAAAGATCCAAGTATGGAGTAGGAAAATGCCAAAGCTGGGCATCATTCAAAGAACTTTGATATCATCATTTTCCGAGAAGAGAAAGGTCTAATGGTAAAGAATGGGCATGAAAGTAGAGAAAGCAATAGTCAAATGCAGCTTTTGGCAGCCAACTATATTTTACTAGTATTTTATAGTCTTTTGTTTTTGTTGTCTCCCAGTAATTCTAGAGTTGTACAAAATATTCCGGACTATATCCATTTTTTTGGCTCTTTTGGTCATAACCCCAAAATATGAGAGAAATCTCTTTGAGGCAAAAGAATTTCTTTCGTTCATCATAATATTAATTCAAACAAACCGGGGAAAATAACTACCTAAAAAATCACATAAGACATAAAGAATTCATTCGTTATTTATTTTTCAGTTGAAAATGAGAAGAAAGAATCTGAGAACCCAATTCTCCTAGGATAGAACTTTAAATTCTTGATTGTTAATTAGATTATAATAAATGTGAAAAACATATTCACTGTACGAAAGCTTTTAATTGTTGTATGACAACACGAAGACTAAAATAAACTTTGCAAAGCCAAAAACAGCCAATCAGCAACTATGACCCGAAAAATTCCATTTCCCGTATGTTTCTATATTCTTCAACGTATCTTCTTCACTTCTGATAATTCCAAACAAGCATTTGTGAATTCTCTTTCAATCCAACCAAACGTGTCAATAGTCAAAACAATGAAATCAATCTATATAAACTATTTTACCTCCCTCCCCACACCGTACCAAAAACTTCTTTCTCTTGCTCTTTAAGTTCCTACAAGAAAATACTAAGCTAGATGAGAAGCAAAGAGGGTAGGCAAAGTAAGCTAAGGCGATACATTGCCGCACCAAAGAGATTTCTAGCCAAGGCTAGAGATTTTTACGTTAAAAGCATGATTGAATTCGATGGAAGGGTTGTCTATGGTAGCAACATGATGATGGCCATGCCTGCTCCCCGGGTATCCCACATGCCAAAATATTTTGGAGCAAGTTTGAAGAACGCTATGAAAAATGATGAGAAATGGAAGGAGCTTCATCGATTGATGAATTCCAAGACCAATGAGGATAATAATTCTGATAAGGGAGGATTATGTCAGAGAAATAGCAAGGTGGATGCTTTTGATGATTTGTTTAGATGTTATAGTGTTAGTGTAGGAAGAATGGGAAGAATTGATGAAGATGAACCATGCTTTTTCAGAGAAGAAGAAATCATTATGAAGAGTGAGATCTTGATTCCTTCATGCAGACGCTAGGCTTCGTTGTTAGGTTGTTTTGCCCTTTGTTTCCCTTTATCTCATTCTGTCTGTATAATTTTGTTGTTGTTTTCACTTTTTGCTGGCTTGGATTCTATTGTTTGGCAATACACGAATCTTATGTTTATGATGTTATTTTAAAGTTTATGCCTTGGTTGAATTTTTTATGATTGCTTTTTGTTGATTACTTGATTATTTGATACTATTATTGTTGGATTTGGATTTTATCCCACCAATAAAATCCAAGCCCAATAATTATTTTATGCATGTTATTTAATACTTTTGCTTATATAATTATGATTAACTGGCCATTAATTATGATAATCACAAGGTGTTGAATTGCAACAACAATTTGGAGTTTAACACTTGTTTAAGAAATTACTAAATTTAGGGAGTACACTAATAAAAGTAGAGGTGCACCTTTGTACCTTTTGTGATATTATTCCATGTGATTTCATAGAAGTAAATGAATCCATAGCTAACTTTATGGTCATGAAAATGGGTATGAATTAGCTATAAGTACAATTGATTTACTGGTGAAAACGGGTTTCATATATCTTAAGAAATTACACCATAACTATTAACTAGTCGAGATAGTAGTACTCAATTGTCTAAGAATTGCATTTGCTTGAGTAGTTAGAGGTACCTTGACTTGAGTACCTTTCCGTTATTATTTTCTAGCATACTTTTAGCATAGTTTTACTTTTCTCCAATTTGTTGATAATATAAATAATAAAGAAGTTTGAATAGTGTCGATAGTTGATCAATCTTTCTTATGGAATCGACTCTTAATATCCTATATTCAAACGGAATATGTAAACCTGTAGAAGTGTATGGGGTATTTAGAAATTTATAAATTTAAAACTTGAGGTGTAGCAAATAGATTATTCTTACAAGCACATCCTGCGCTTATCATATAGTTTACCCCCGTGACGATTTGTCAGCATTAAAAATACAAAAAGGTGAGTATAATGATATTATTGCCCATTTATTCATAAAATTATCTATAACTTAGTATTATTTCCTTCGTTGCTAAAAAAGTATACATCGTCTCTGTCATACCAACTTACAACAATATCAAACTAAAAAAAGTTAAATAATGTTTAAATTTAGTTTATATCCTTAAAATTTTTTCTATCAGTGGTTAGCATTCACATTTATATATTCTTTATTCAATTTATTATAATTTAAGTCAAATAATAAATAATAAATATCACAATACTAAAATAAACACAAATACCAAATTACTTTTTCAAAAAGAGGTAATACTAAACTTTTTTTGTTTAAAAATGTAGTTTTTTATTATTTTAGTTTATGTGAACTTTTAGGCTCAAACTATTGTCATGTTCAATTGATGTATTTATAGTTTACTATTATTGCCTTTTCTTGTCAAGAAAATAAAATTTCATTTATTCTCCATTTTCCTTCTTTATGTTTAAAAATGAGGTATATCAACCATTTTTAGCAAATTTGATTACGAATTTCGTATTTGACTAATTTCATAAATAGAAAAATGACAACAATATTAGTCTAGAAGTTTAAATAAATTAAAATAATAAAAATTTGTTTTAGAAAAATGAGTTTGATATTACCTTTTTATATAAATTTTGATAATTACACTTATTTTTACTATTATGTTATTTATTAATTTTGTTTGACTTAAAGTCTAATAAATTGAACAAAACATATATAGAAGTAAACATTAATCCAATAGGAAAAATGTCAAGGATATAAACTAAATATTAACTTTCTTTAACTTTTTCCATTTTATTTTTTTAATAATTGATATGATAAAGAAGTTATAAATCTTTTGGCAATGAAAGGAAATGATATTAAGTTATACATAATTTCATGAATAAAAGGGAAATAATGTTATTTCACTCAATTTTTTTTTATTTCTAACTTTGACTAGTCTTTATGGGAATAAAGTATATATATATATATATATTTAAGGTTGAGAAAGGTAAAGTGTGACTATCTCCTAAATTCAAGGGAGCAAAGTGTTATTAATCCTTTATTTTGTAATGTTTGTTAACACAGCCTAGTTCTAATCTTATATATAAGAAATTAAGATTTCTTTGCTTTCAACGACAAAGTTGACCGTTAACTATTGTGGCATTTAAATGAAACTTGCAGTCAAAGAATTTAAGGGCTAAAAATGTTTTTTGCCCAATTCTTAGAGGGGAAAATGTTTTTGGTGATTTTTTTTTGCCCAATTCTTAAAGGGCTAAAATGTTTTAGTAACGTTTAACTGTTTAAGGGCTAAAAATGTGATCCTTTGCACAATTCTTAGAAGCAAATGTTTTTTGACCTATTATTGAGGTCTAAATAGCTAATTAAATGAATTATGAGAACCAAAGTGCAAAATGGAGCCTGATATTGGAGGTTTAGTTAACGCTTTCAAATTGTATATTCTTTTCACGATCGGGCAACGCGAGGTGTCTAGTTTGTTTCCATGACAATCCTGTTGCCCAATATGAATATTGGATCCTCCCTTACAACTTGTAACTCCTCAAATTTCTAGTATACCCCCAGTCATAATGGAAATTTGCCTTTTGTCTGGACTCCCTCCAACTTTTATTTCACACTTCTAAATTAACTCCTCGATTGAGTCCAATAAGAAAAACACCATTTTTGAGTTTTACATTAGAAAAGTAAAGACTTTTTAA